AGGAGATGAAAAATAGAACTCGATAAAAGAGAAACGAAAAAAAAAAAAAAAGAAACAAAGCTTAGGTCGTGTCTACTTACTTGGTTTGTACGCGAACCTGCGTCGAACAAAACGTGATCGAGGCCCCTTACTTTCGAAGTTGGCTGCAGAGCATATACGGTTGATCGACTGCATGTGCTTCGCTCGCTTTCCTAACGACAAGACATTCTTTTACCGACGATCATACTTTTATGTACGCGCTATTTTCATTGACGCATTACTGAATTTTTATCCTCGAATTTTAATTGGATGGATATATTATATTTGCGTGTATAAAAAATAATTCGTAAAAGGGTTCGTGTCAAAGATGAGATGATCGTTAAAATCGTTTTAAAATTTGCTTTATCGGTAAAGAGAGTAGTGACTATTCCCGCATTGGAATAAAATTCGTTTTCATTTTCGATGTTATGAAGTCTGAAACGAAAGCTAAATGTTTAAGACAAATTTAGCGCGAGTTAACATATTAAATATTTGATTAACTTTCTCTCGTATATATCGCATCGTATCATTGAAATCATATATTTGTCAAACGAACGTTAATATTCTATTTTGAATAGATAGAAATGTTCAAACGTACAAATATCTGGTTTCATCATATTACAATTAACCTTTTGACGCTTTTCTTATCTTTTCGTATTAATAAACTTCATCTTTGATCTTCATTAGATTTTTGTTTGAGATGGCGCAACCATCAAATCATCAACGAAGTCGTAAATCGTAATATACAAAAGAACACGTTCGAGAACCGGAAGTGTAAAGTATACCGAGGCTTCGATCCGATTTTACTTTCACAAGATCGTATTATTTCGATACAACTCACGTTTCGATCAATTACTTTCATAGAACCAAAATCTATAATAAATTTATCCTGTCGTATAAATATTCGGTCCGATTTTATATGCACGACTTTATATATGATACTTTATTTTTATATTCTTCCTTTATGTTTCTATAGAGAAAAGAAAGTTACTTCTACTAAAGCTACAGATAAATACAATGAAAAGAAGAATTGATTTATGTATGCGAGTTTTCAAAAGAAATTACTTTTCTTAAATAGATAATGTCGAAGTCGCGCGATTATCGACGGTCTTAAAAGAAGATGCTGAAGACACATGAACGATGTTAACGGTTTTGCGAACCTATTGTAATTAATTTACAATGTAAATATCAATTAATTTTCTTTTCATAGCATAAAGATTCATTTGAATATTATTTGCATAAGTTGTTATTTCGTATATTATAGATGAAAAATGAGACGAAATCGATAAAAAGTTTAAGTTTCTTCTTTGAAGAGAAATTAGCTATTTAAGTGCTCGATAGCTTTTAAAGTGCACGACCACACCTTCGATAGATTCTTTTACATACTCATTGCACTTTCTCCGTTCATTTGTTTTCCAAAAACGTACGTCCACGCTTATCGACATACTTTCAAGAAGAATTAAATCTATGAGACAATAAACTTTGCAAAATATTTATTACCTTGTCAAATTGTTAATAATAAAAATGATACTTAATATTCTTGAATTCTTGAATTCAAAAAAAATGAAAAAATGAAAAAAAAATGTAAGAGAAATAAAAATTATATAAATCATATTTTTTAAGATATGCATTTATTTTATTCTTATATATTGAAATAATATTATTATGGTAGTATTCATAAAAAATGCATTTGTATATCTTTTGTCTAACTTAAAAAATAAATTTTATTTGTTACATTTATAACTAAAATAAAATCGTATCATAATATACCATAAAAATATAATACATTCAGTCTATGATTTCGAAAATGGTCTCTATTATTATACGATTAAACATTTATCATTTCATAATGGTCACCACAAAAAAATCGCTAAATACTGAATTCAAGATTTTTTATAGAAAAGATAGAGTTTATTTGGGAGACTGTTTATGTTTCTTCGTCCATTATAGCTGGATACAATAATCGGATAAAATTAATGGCAGGTACGTTAAAATTTAATTGTAGGCCTTATATAAAATTAGATATAAAACATAACTATAATACATTCATACATTAAAATAAAATTAATTAAGTACTGTTATTTTGAATACAAAATAATTCTAAGAATAAAATAAGTAATTTATGTACGTTATAGGAACAAAATGTTAATAACATCAACTTAGAAATTGCCATAATTTCGTATTAAATACGAAAATTTATCACAAATACAAATAAAATGTAAAGAATAAATTCTATTTTACAATAAATAGATAAAATACTTTCATTATAAATAACATTGTCTCTGTATCAATTTCTAATCGAGATTTTTATATATCATGTTATAAACTAGATGCCTCTATAGTAGGAATATTAAAAAGACCAGCATCTTTCCAATAATAATGAGGAGGACCAACAGTAAAGCAATATTTCATAGACAATGGTTTGTCATTTTCAACATAATACATTAAATAAAAATTACACATTTCATCATTTTTAGTAGCGCCAATATATGTCCAACTATCACGTGTACTTTGCATAGTACAACGAGCTGCTATTTGATCACCCTGACTAGCTGAAACTTTATTGTGTACGGGATAAAACATTTGAGGAGTTAAAGGATCTCTTTTGCCTAATTCTATCCAAGTGTAATCTGATTTTACCAAATATCCAGAAACTACTTTTCCAAGAGAATGGGTATGTGTTCTATATGCAATAGGATGAATAGTTTTGTTCTCTTTTATCATACAGGCTGTTTCCATGTATGTTGTTCTTCTAGGTGGTATGATACCTGAAGTTCCCAAAAGAAGAACACCAGCTAATTTATTCAATGGATTTAATGTGTAATATAGAAATACACCAGAATCATCAGTTCTGCCATCTTGAAATTGTGTGATATGCGCATAATGAACTTGTAGAACTAGATATTTAATTGAAGAATCTCCACCAACTTTGAAACCTACTCCTTCTGGTAAAATTAATGTTGGTGCATCTCTAGCCCAAGCATACAATATCTAAAAATATAAAAATATATATAAATATTAATATAATCAAATATTAATATTTTTTACAAAATTTTTAAATTATTGCTTTATATTTTCTACATCATGTACCTGAGAATCTTCTGCACATGGTACCATTGTATCCTTGTTATCATTTATACCGTGTACCATTTCTCCACAATCCCATACAGGTTTTGAACTACCAGGTTTTCTACAACCATATAAAAGAATATGATGAGCAGTTGCCATTGTTGCATTTGGTTCAAAACCCGTCAAATAATAATTTTTAGAAGGATCTACTTTAACAGGAGTACACAAATATAGTTCTTCCTAAAAATAAGAAAAAATATTTTATTTTTTTATTTATTCATTTAATATAACTTGAGAATTTTATTTAAAAAAATGTTTATTAAAAACCTATATATGTCATTAAACAACTATTTTTTTAAATTATATTTACCCTATTTGGTCTAACATTTGGCATAAGTAAAGCATATTTATTTACGCTATTACACTGTATAAATTTAAATAAAATCGAAAACAAAATATAAGCCGCGAAATCTCTTTTCATTTTTTTATTAATATTTATAAACATTATATGAATTATCTTAAAAATTTACATCAATCTGTTAAATGTTACAAATCGATATTACGTAGTTCACGCACAAACTCTGACGTAGATAAGCATTTATAAACGCCATCTACCAAGAGCACAGTAATTTATTGTATATAAAATTTGTTGATAAAAATTTTTCAATATAATTAATATTTCTATTAAATAATTTAAACAAATTATTATAAAAACATGATTTGATATGTATATATTGTCTATCATTGAACAGATGATTAGAATTATATAAATTAGATATTCATTCATCGTAATTTGAATTTCATTACATGAGAACGAAATCGAATAAAATACATATATAAGTACTATTTATGTGGATTTAAAAATGTCCAATTTTAAATACTATAATCGATTGCTTTTTGTTTGATTAACTTTCATGGACAACAATATTATGATATATAAATTTATTTTTATCTTTTATTAATATATATGTCACGAATTTGATCTGTAAGCCATTCTATGCCTAATTGTAAGCCTTCTCCAGTAATTGCATTTGTTGCTCGTATATGCCAAGGTTTATTCTGTATACGATCAAGACCAAGCCCAGCAACAAGTTTAACAGTGGTTAGAGAATCAGGCAAATCCATTTTATTAGCCAAAAAGAGAATCGGTATTTTACGACCTAAAATATTTAGCAAAGAAAATTTAATTTTTAGAAGATATCTAATAAAGAACAAAAAGAAAATAATTTGTACCAGCTATATCTGGATGTTGAAGAAGCATATCTAATTCTTCTTTAACAACAACCAATCGTAATTTGTCACTACTATCAATTATAAAAATAATACCATGGCAATCTTTATAATAATGTTCCCATAATGATCTATGACGGTCATGGCCTGACATATCGAATGCTGTGAAACTAACATTTTTAACTGAAAAAAAATGTTACAATTTGTAATGCAATAAAATTGTAATTTGTAATATTGCTGTACGATGATTTTAAAATTATATGTATTTAATGTTTTTTACTTTATAAATCGATACCTGTTCCTCCACTATTTCTTCATATATTAAAATGAATGAGAATCACTGAATATATATATATATAATAAACAATATATTGGCGCTATAAGATTTAAAAGAAATAATCAATTTGAAAAAAAATTTTTAAAAAATATGGAGGTGTGTGATGTTTTACGTAATGTTATTGATAATGAAAAAGATTTAGAAGAAAAGCAAGGTAATATAAATCATTAAGAAAATCTAACCTAAATTAATTGTTATAAAAATCTTAAATTTTATTTTATTTTATTTTAGTACCCGTAAATGAAGTGAAAGACAAATTAAAAAAACAAATAAAGCAATTGAAGTCTCTAATTTTACAAATTGAATGTAGTTTGGATATATTAAAATTTAAAAATACTAAATGTGTTTTTCGTTCAAATCTTGTTAATAACTTAAATACTGATAAAATTCCAAATGTTAATTTACAATTGAAATCCGAATTATATAGATATTCTGGCTTTTATTGTGTCAAGTTTTCAGAAGATGAATATATATTTAATTTTTCACCTTTAAATAAGTATGATAGAAAAAATATTTTTGCTATACAAATATTAAATAATCAAAAAAAAGGAACTTTAGGAAAATGGGTAATGCCAATGAGTATTGATTTAAATGATTTAACATCTGACTTTCCTATCACTGAATTAAGAAAAATACCTCATTTCTTAAAAATTTGTAAACAACATATAGATTCTTATTTTATACGACAGACACAATATACTGCATTAATGGTATATATAAATCTTTTTAATTTATTTTTCTATATAAAAAAATACAGAATTAAAATATTAAGTACAAATTTTAATGTTTAGGATATTATTTCTCATACGAAAAATAGTACTTTACAATCTAATTTAGGATATACGCAAATTAGTTTAGAATTGATGGGTCTATATTATAAAAATACTGATTCATACATAAATATAATTATATATCTCTTATATAATATCAGTGAAGCTAGACCACACAAAATTGAAGTAAATTCAACAACACAAGATGAATTAGACCAAAATGTAAAAAAACATCTACAAAAATCTTTGGTATGTTTTAAACAATTTGATTTGCATAAAGCATTTGAGAATATGTTGAATTTAGAAGCATTCAAATGGACAAAAGAAAATGCTGAAGATAGTCCATTGGAAATTAATGTAAGTAAAAGTTTTAAGTTTTTTAAACAAATATTAACATGAATTACTATCTCTAAAAAACATTATTTTTATTTTCAGAATTTAAGTAATTCAGATGAAGAAGGATTTTTAAGCACATATTCAATTACACAAAATAGATCTTTGATACATCATAAAAAAAGACGAAAAAAGAGAAAAATAAAGGAAGAAAATTTCAGTAACATTTTAAATTTACATGAAAATCCTATTCAAAATAAAGAGCAAATGTCACAAAATATTAAACAAAATATAGATGTCATAAAATTGACACCAAAATTAATTAACTTTAAAGAAAAAAGATTAAAACAGACAAAATTGAAATTTCATTTGAATAATTTAGAAAATGAATCTTCTGATACAATTGCATTTAAACATATGCAAATAAATAAAAAATTAATTAAACCATTAACTAGTACTCCAATACATCAAAATAAACATTCTTCTGATTCCATCACATCAACCAGTATTAGTGATATTACAATAACTAAAAATAATTCAGATATTGATAGAAAATGAAAAAAAATCAATTTTAGAATACACTTAGAAAATTATTGCAAAATAAAATAAAAGAAAAAGAAAAAACTGAAATGTATAATATAAATATTCAATAATTTTTTAATTAATTGTAATATATTGTATGTTTCATATAACATTTATACATGTATATATATTGTTTCAAAATAAATCTTGTCTTTAATTTAATTTGTTTTATTGTATTAAATAACAATTGGTGCTTGAACAGATCAGCAAGTGCAAATAATAAAGTAGAAATACTGTCTTAAGCACGTCAATTCAACATCGAATGTCGTTCACTTGTCATTATTTAACTTACATGAAAATTTTTCAACATTATACCCAACAGTAGGTACTATGTCTATGCAACGGTCATCCTCGCGTTTGAAATTATTTATGACCGTCGACTTACCACTATTATTAAGGCCCACTACTAAAACGTTTACTTCTTTTTTCTTAAGACCTAAAAGATTTGCTAAACGATCAAATAGTCCCATTTTCTGTACTCTCTTCAAAGTTACGTGTTTATCGAATATCAATAATCTACGCTATAATATTGACTACTATGAAGATAATACATTTAAAAATACAAAATATAATTATTCTTCTCCCATTATTTATATTTAATTTACTAATATATACAATGTTCTTTAATATTTTAATATCTTAAATAGAATTAATGAAAATATTATACTTTTATATACTTTTTATAGCTTTATTTTAAATATATGAATTCTAAATTTTTATTTAGGTTTAGATTGAGAACTACTGAGCACATGCTTTCGTGTTTTGTGACAGTAATATTTATAAAATATTAAATTTGTGAATAATTCGAAATATTATTTTACTAATTTGTCTTTTAATTTTGCTTATTAAATAAGAAAATACTACAAAATGGTAAATTGAAAAAAAAATTAATAATATATTCATATTTTAGGTTATATTTATTAGGTTACAAATATTTATATAAATTAAATATTTTTTCAGCCTAAGGGAAAAACGAAAAAATTCATTGATAAAAAAAATTCAGTAACATTTCATTTAGTTCATCGTTCTCAAAGAGATCCATTAATTGCTGATGAAACCGCACCACAACGCGTGCTTGTTCCTATTGGAGATACACAAGCTGCTAAATTTGAAAAAAAAAAGTTAGATGATAGTAAACGAAAAGAAGAACAAAGAAAATATGGCATATATTTTGATGATGATTATGATTATTTACAACATCTTAAAGATGTTAATACTTTAACAGCTGAATGGGAACGTGTAGATTCTACACCTTCGAAAATAAATGAATCACATAATGCACCTAAAATTAATTTACCATCTTCTGTATTTGCTTCAAACGTTGAAGAGAAAGTTGGGCTTTTAAATAAAGCAGCCCCAATTTCAGGATTGCAATTAGATTTAGATCCAGATATAGTTGCAGCTATGGATGATGATTTTGATTATGATAATCCAGAAAATCAATTAGAAGATAATTTTATGGAATTAGCTAATGCAAACAATAGTGATATTTTAGAAGAAGAGTATGGTATGTATTTATGAAAATATTATTAAACTAATAAAACTTTTTTATTTATAATTTAAAAATGTGATTATATGAATCAGATGAAGCATCTGATATTTCATCAGAAAGACACATGGAATTATCAGATGAAGAAGAAGATGAAGTATGCAGTTTAAATGGACCTCAATACACTTTTAAAGAAGAAGAAACAAAATCCCGTTTTACAGAATATTCAATGAGTAGCAGTGTGATAAGAAGAAATGAACAATTAACGCTTCTTGATGATAAGTTTGAAAAAGTAAATATTTATTATATCATTTTAGTATAAATTTTTACATAAAATATATTATTATTTTTATAGATGTATACTGCATATGATGATAATGAAATTGGTGCATTAGATTGTGATGAAATCGAAGGACATATTGCACCAAATTCAGATTTGATTCTTCAATGTGCAGCAGAATTTGAAAAAAAGAAAAATGAAAATGTAAGTTAAATTTAAGATAATATATTTAATGGAAAAAATTAAATGTGATTTCATTTTAATAGGCTGATAATATTGCACAATTGATGAAAGATAGAATGAAAATTTTAGAAAATGAGTATTCAAGTTCTGAAGATGAAGACAGTTTAGAAGAACTTATTGTTAATGCAAGAGAAAAAGACAAATGGGATTGTGAAAGTATTATTAGTACTTATAGTAATATTTACAATCATCCAAAGTTAATTTCTGAACCTAAGGTTGTTTAAGAATAAATGTTTATATTTTTTATTTCTTTTATTATGTAAATTTACAATATATAAATTTAATATTATTTTAATATTTTTATAGCATCCACAAAAGATCAAAATCAATCCAAAAACTGGTATACCAAGAAATATTTTAGATGGATCTTCTGAAAAATTAACTGCAAAAACATTGGCTCAATTTGATCAACAAAATGAATATTGTAAATCAAAATGTCCTCAATCTATTGCAGAAACTATGAAATCTACCTTAAGTACATTGAGTATAAGATCTAAGAATGAAACTCCTGAAGAAAGAAAACAAAGAAAGAAAGCACTTAAAGAATATAGAAAAGTAAAATTATTTTATTATGTATATGCATACAAATATATATATATAAAATCACTATTAGTTAAATTATTATTGTTACTTTTAGGAAAGACGAATAGAACGGAAAGCTAATAGTGAAGCATTTAAAGAAGAAAAGAAACGCCAAGAAAAAATTTTATTAAATAACAGGCAAAATATTCAAGGAAATAAAATATTTTAAAATAAATAAATTTCGTTATATATTCCTAAAAATAAAATTATATTTTTTTTAATTTTAGAATGTAATATTTTTCCTAAATAATAATATTTACAATTTACATGCATCATATTTATAAATATTTAAAAATCGTTATCTCTTGATCGCATAAATTTTACAAAGCAAATATAGAAGAAAAAAAAAAAGAAAGAAAAATAAAAACAAGATAAAAATATTGAAATCAATGTCATCTTGAGAAATATAGATGAAATAGATATAGAAAGGATAGAAAATAAGAAGGATAAAAAATAGAAGAGAAGAAAAAAGTAAAGTGTATCATTATCGCCATTTTTTAAATGTCAAAAATATTTAAGAGATAGTGCTATTCTTCAATTCTTATTTAGATCCTTTACCTTATCTTATCTTATATATTTAAAAAGATATCTATTCTACTCGAAAGATGGCGTTAATGATCAATTCTTAGTCTATCTTTCTACTTCTATTTGTTATTTTTTTCGCGTTTCATCTATTCTGAAGATGGCGCTATTTCAATACTTTTATCCTATCTCTATCTTCCTTCCATTATTTGCTCTCTTTGTCTATATTTAATGCTATCGTAGAGCGCCATCGTTAAGGCGGGGCAAACAACGGAAACTCTAAAGTCATATGATCGATTTGCGATTCCTTCAGAACATAGCATTCTGTTGCGAAGATGGCCAGCCAAACGCAAGGTATTCAACAGCTTTTGGCAGCTGAAAAAAGAGCTGCAGAGAAAGTTGCAGAAGCTAGAAAACGTAAGTTTCTATTCAAGCATTATAAATCATGTTTTAACACGAATATGTTTTTAACATAACCCGCTATAATCAATTTTTCTATGACCCTGAATTTAAATGGGTGTAACCTTTTAAATGCATTGAAAAATTATGTTTTAATATATATATTTATTAAAATACGATTTTCATTTGAAATATTTGTTAATTTTTTTATCATGAATATTAATAAATGTAAATATAAATTTTATATATACATATAATATTATTTGATATTTTATGATAAAAATAAATCAATTAATTTATTAATAATAAGTTTGGAGAAATATTTTTAATCATTATTATGTTTATTTGTAGAAATTCTAATAATCATTTATCATAATATAATATAATTAATAAAATTATTATAATAAAATAATTTTTCTTTCAGGTAAAGCACGTAGATTGAAACAAGCAAAAGAAGAAGCTCAAGATGAAATTGAAAAATATAGGCAAGAAAGAGAAAAACAATTTCGTGAATTTGAAGCAAAAGTGAGTAAATTTTAATATATGCATATAATTTTTTTATAGTTTAATCTAATCTAAAATATTACTACTATAAAAAATATATAATATTATATGGAAAATATTTTTATTATTGTTACACATAGCATATGGGATCAAAAGAAGATGTAGCAGCCCGTATAGAAGCTGATACAAAAATAAAAACAGAAGAAATGAATCAGACTGTGTCTATGCATAAAGATTCTGTAAGTTAATATAAAATGTATACGGAAGAAGTAATAATGTTTTTTAGTTAAACATTTTCTTTGTTTTTTTATAATATAGGTTGTGCATACAATTTTGGAGTTGGTATACGACATTAAAGCAGAATTACACAAGAATTACCGCGCCGAAATTTAAATCAGAAAAATCGTATCGATTACTTATAAATATTGCATCTTATGCTATAAATGTACATTAAGTACTTTGTTTTATCATGTCTTAAAACGTATCTATCGTTGTTATGTTGTACTTTTGTCAGGAAATGTGTATATCCTTCAATTGTAGATGGTGGTATTCAAATTATTAGAATTCTTTCTGCAGTTGCTACACGACAATAAATGTAACCTATGCCGAGCTTTTACCACCATAACGGAAAGTTTAAGGATAGTACCGTCATGATAGCAATATAGATGCAAACAAATTATCGTCATTATGATATATCAAGGCCTAGATATATTAGCATGACGTGTAAATGTTAAAGCTTAGGGTGGTGGTAGAAAGTTGTACATCATTAAGTGTATATTGTTAGATGTCATTCCATAATTCTGCTGCATCGAGGACATAAAAAATTTGTTAAACAATTCTGTACAACTTCCAAAGAATCACATATAAGCTCCCAATCTGATGTGATTCTCACGACGATGTACATAATATATATTATTTGTTTTGTTTGAAACACACATTTAAACTTTGTTAAGGTATAGAACAATACAAAAAATTATACCTCATGTATAAACCCTGTCTCCGTATGCTGACTAATCTGTACAGTATTAATGTTCGGAAATAAAAACGATCAAAAGGTAATTACTTTGTACTTAAGGTTTTTATCATTTATTAAACAATGATAATTGTTTTGAAATTTAATATCCATTCACTTTTAATTTTGAAATATTTAATATAATGTTATTGATTTTTTTGAATATAATGACTGCAATGCAATTTATTCGATATTAGACATATGAATTATCGATATTACGATAACATTATATAAAAAAAATAATTTATCATAATTCATTTAAAAAAAATAATCTCTCATATATTATAAGATTATTAATTATTAAATTTAAATTTTTAAATTTTTTAACTTTATTCATTGAGCGCAGACGCAGTTTCGATAAAAAAATACAACTGTAACGTTATTGGATATTTCTGTTTACGCTTATTGTAAATGGTCAGATATTCAGATAGAAAAGAAAATATTCTACACAGAGGGGGAATCAGCTGTGTGAACCTAACCTTTCTTTCATCGTAATCTTAGTATATAGTCGGTTGGGTGCGCGTCGTTCGTGTGTTTTGTGCGTTTACAACACTAGCGCCATTCTATAGACATCGAGAGGTGATTCGATTTCACGAACTAATACTGGCAGCGCGAAGCGGTCAGTACGTGTGCCATTCTGCACCGAGAAATGGAAGCCGACGAGACGCGTTCGAACAATACGAGCGTAAGCACGTTGATGATGTACGAAGTCGTGTGTGAGGATACAGTGACAGCTGTGGACAGGTACGCGTTTTAAATCTGTTATGATTAAAAACGTACCAAGTAAAGCCGGTCATCGACCAGCTGTGAATTCAAGGAAGAGATCGTTGTAAACGCGCGTGTCGAAAATTTTGTGCGTTTTAATTTGTCGGTTTGTTACGCCTAGTCGAAATCGTATTACCGAAAAGAGTCTTACCGAAAAAAACAGTGCGTGTAAGAACCTTTTTGGATACTACCTGACAAGATGTGGTGTCTCGTTAGTCAAGCTAATTCTGTCATTCTTGAGGTACAAGTCGATCCCAAAGCTATTGGTCAGGAGTGTCTCGAAAAGGTGAGTCATCTTATTATATTTTTTATTTGTTTATTCAACGAAGCAAGCATTGTTATCATCGAATTGTATATTCGTTTTTCTGATTTAAAATGTACGATAATTGCTTTTTATATTTAATTTAATTTATAACGTCAATTTCTTGCTTTCTTTACCATTTTCTTATGATCAAATATAAAATATTCAAAAATTTATAGAAGTAAAAGAATATTAAATGAAATGAACGATTCGATAAAGATGATATATGTTATTTGTTTTTATTTGCTTTATTAAATATTAAATTTCACGGATGGTTATCATTTTTTTTTATGTAGTTTTGTTTTATTATTTCGATCGTTAAATACGATATAAGAACGCAAAATAATAAAGATGAAAATTAAATATTGAAAACAAATCAAAACCATATTGTCTAAATCTTACATTGTCTAGATTTCATTGTAAACAATAACAAATAACTACTGTTCATCATCTATATATTTATATTGCGTATTATATCGTCGATCGATTACTTGGTGAAAGTAACGATTTAAATCTTTATTCGAAATGTAAATCTAGCGTTTGATTTAACAATCATGAAATAGTGGTAGAAAATTTAACAGAGAGCAAATATACACTGCAACAACATACTTCTATTTATGTAAGTTTATCCGAAAAGGTGGCAGATCTCGGAAACGTGAAACATATTCGCGCAAAAGGGAAAGATGTGGACGATGCCTTACGGCTAGGTCGTAACTCACGTGCGCAACAGATGCCCCGAAAACATTCAGATACTTGCTAGTGCAATTTGAAATTTGAGAATCTTACCGATGCAAGATATTTTGGTCCTTTTGGAAAATTTATTATCGCGTTTACTGCGAAGTTATACTGCGTCGTTGCAATTTTTGCAATGTAATTAATTGAATCCGTGTGCAATGTAGCGGCAATTCACACATGTGATTTATAGACATCCGACCTGAGGTGACCTCGTGGCAACCTCGCGGCAACCTCGGTGGTCATTTCACCGGTACCGTCTTGGTTCTTCTTTGGGGTTTAATTCTATTTATAGATGCCAGACGCATCGGCTGTATGTATTGCAGCAGTTGCACGTATGTATACCGAGACTACCAACCTTATTCCCCTTGCT